TTTAAAAGCCACGCTATCTCGGCCCCATTTAGATGAGCTAATAAAAAAGGCACATCTGGCCATCTGCCGAAATACGCTTTGCACTTAATCTCGTTTCTTGTACTCATCATCACGTACTTCGTTTCTTAATATCTCTGACATTTGCCTCTTAAATGAACATTTCTATTAGAAGTTGGAGATGAGATTGACACGCAACTTGAGCGTCTTTGATGGCCATAGTTTTCGTTTGTAAAAAAATCAATTGTTCTTTATTTAATGAAAGTATCATCATTACTGTCGCCATGCCCTTGTTAGCAAAGTTGAATATGAAACTCGCTTTCGCCTTGGAACATTTGTTTTGCGTAAAAGGATTATTCGAGGGGAGGCCGGCTATGTTAGTCACATCATGAGTCAACAGTGACCAGAAATTCATACGTGAAACTTCACTTTACCTATGTACATTTTTATAATTTCATGCTCAACTTTACAGTCATTGACGGAATTTAATCTGCTTCGCTTAACACGGACGAAGCAAACTCCAGATGATTGAGGCAAGTGCTGGCTTATCGCAGGTTTGATGGTTGAACACTTCCCTTGCGACCCCCTTTTTGACTGGTTTTAGACTTAGAAACCACCAACAGTGAAAAAGAAGGTTGGGGAGGCTGAGTATGGCGAGAATGCATAATAATATAAATCCAAGCCTTGCGTGCCATTTGGAGATACCCCGATATGTACTAGCAACGCTTGATGAACTAAAACTGACTAAAAAATTGTCCAGTCTTGGTGGGGAGGGAGTAAGAAGGCTGATCTTGTGAGCCAGAAAAAGTAATTAAAAAAAAGGGGGGGCAACGATGTAATTTAAGCTATATATTATTTTGGCGTATGGTGGGCCGGCTAGCCCAAATACAATTACAGGCAAAACTCACCCAACATCTTTCCGATGTTAAGGGCAGATCCAAAACCTGAAGCCCACAATATTAACGGTTGCTGCCCTTTTATTCCATGCCCGCTTTCTGTGAACTTACGCAAAGCAAAGGCAAACGTACCCCATCAGAGTGAACAGAGGAGAAGTGTAAACAATGGTACATCATAAAAGATACATTATATATTTGTCATTCTAAAATTCGTTTAAAAGACTGTGGACACCTGTTATATACACACACATATAAATAGCTATATTTAAAAGGGACACAGGCGCACATATATGGTTTTTTTTTGTTAAAATATAAAGATCTTCTTACTGGAGGCAATCCTATTCGAGATAATGTCGGACAATAAATATGAGTACTTTTTTCAACCAAAATTTATCACATGTGTGAGAAACTAAGAGCTAATCCCGTTGTTATATATCACATGCATCAAATAAGTTCTCACAGCACATGCTTTGCCCAAAGAGGCCCCATATATTATTAATTGTTGATTTGGTGTTAGTGGTTACAGGTTAATCTCTGACATTTGGTGGGACATTGACGTTGACATCTCAGAATCATATAAAGTGATGAGGAAGGGATGTTAATGGGCCATTTCCTCAATTATTGAGGCGGCATTCATTAGAGGTGCGCCGTTGTAATATCATCGCGATTCACAAATTTTGAGTGGGAGAGGTCAACCCAAGAAGACATCGAAAGTAATCAATCTAGCCCTAGGCATCTTTAGATTTATATTATCATTTGTTATTATAAAAATCTCGTCTGGGGTCCCTGGAGAAGTCTCAGCATTATTTGCTTCAATTTCATATTTAATACGCATATTAGCTGGTCAAAAAATATATATTTTGACTGTATAGTATTGAGCTAATCTTATTAATATTATCCCCTTGCTATAATATATATAGCAGCTCTAGTTCGTTTGAAAAGCTATTATTTTATGCACCTTCACCGTTGACAGAAGAAAGTAAATATTTATATGAAACGTCCGTTGATCAAGATCCTTTATTATTTTTCTCCAATATTGCTGCCAATTCATTCATAATTGCATGTCGCTTTTAGTAGGATACGCATGAGATTACATTGTTTTTAATACTCCCCGGTTTACGAGTTACGTGCTGCAGAGCGGAACACACGCACACACATACGTATAAATCTTAAAATACCACCAATCCTTGCACATATATATAGCTGTCAACAGTGTTATATTGCCAACTTTTTAATTGTTTGGTCGAGATCAACTGCATGCATAGTCTCTCTCTCTCTCTCTCTCTCTATATATATATATAGATATTTGTGATTGTGGGGAAAAAAAAAAGCACGCATTCAGTGATTTCTAATTTTTGAAAAAATTGACTTTTTGTGAGAGAGAGTTGTTTTTAATTTTTTATGCATCATCGTATTACAACTCAAATTACAAATTTGCATCGAATAAGAAGTTGATTCATGAAAATAAAATATATTAAAAATGCCGAGAGCACGTTTTTTTTTTTTCTAGACAAACAACGTAACAGCTGTATTCGATGTAATCTGATTAGAGAAAATTACGTTTCATTTTCTTCTTGATAATTTTCTCACATTTAAATTGATAAAAATACAAAGCACAACGTAATTTGTTGTTTTACATGTATATCATGGAGGAAAAAAAGAGAAGTTGGATTTGCCCCAAGAACTGGTGGGCATGCAGGACGTGCTAGCTTTCCAAGGATGTCATGGACGAACATTCCGTTTCCGACCTCATTTTGGTTTGTGTCAAGTCAGTATTATACACAAAGAATGTGGAAACCAATAAAAGCCAAACAAGGTTCAGAAAGCTTAGTATGGCCAAGAACGCATAATAATAATCCAAATGGGACACATTCAGATTATCCAAAACCCAGCCCTTGTGTCCTTTTCTCTGGGTGATATCAGCCACAGTGGACAGAATAAAACTACTCAGAAAATGACCAATCGCCACACTGGACGTGAGATATGCTGTTCCTAGGCTCTTCATGCTTTCTGGTGCTTGATCATAGAAGAACTCCATCTTTCCTACTTCCACAAAGGCATCAGAAACCCCCATTAATGCAAACTGAGGCAACAATATGAAAACACTTAGAGGGATTTTGTCAGATTGGCCAAAAAGATGATTTTCTCTTGCAACGCTCAGTCTCTTTCTTTCTGCTAAACTTGCAGTGGCCATCACGATGATCTGCAACACAAGACCGATGCCCAGTCTTTGAAGTAATGTGATCCCTCTGGGGTTCTTTGTGGATCTTCTGATTGCTGGGACTATTGCTCGGTCGTAGATTATAATGGTTATCAGCGAGATGATATGTATAAATGCTGCAAGAGAAGCTGGAGGAATCTCGAAATGAGGGCCCATGCTTCTGTCTAGTTTGGTGCCTTGTCTGATAAAGAGTGTGTTCCCTTGAGATATTACAATGGTTGGTACGAGTGTTGCAGTCCAAATAGGTATCATTTTCATCATTTGCTTTGTTTCCTCAACTTGGGTCACCGGACAAAGCATCCATGGCGACGCTTGGCTTGTCTTTGTTGCAGCTTTGTCAAGGAATCTGCATGCAGCCATTTCAACGACGATCTTAAGTCATTAATACATAATAATTGAATTTGAAGCTATAGATATATTCTACCTTAATGAGGAGGTATTATCAATCCTGTGCCTCTTGTCACTTGAGTACTCTTCTATGCTTAGTTCATGTAACTCCCGCGGGTCATCTGGAACCCGTACCTTCCACTTTCTCAAAGCAGCTAGGAGCACCTGAAGTACTCTCTTTATAGGGCTATCCTTGGGCAATCTGTGCCTGTAAAATGGAGCACCTAACAGAAACAGCAATATAGCAAAAGCTAATCCAATAGTTGGAAGCCCAAAACCAAGGGACCAGCCCACGTTATCTTCCATGTAAATTAAGAAACTGCTTGCGAAGAGAGTGCTGAGAAAGACGGTGAACATCCACCAGTTAAAAAATGAAAGCTTCTGGGATTTCTCCTTCGGCTCAAAGTCGTCAAATTGGTCAGCTCCCAAGGTTGAGATGGTTGGCTTAGTTCCGCCTGTTCCTACTGCTATGATGTACAAGGCAGAAAAGAAAATACCCACTTGCAATGACGACGCTTTTTTACATTCTTCTTGTCTGACGCCTTCACCACATGTTGGTGGCCTTAGTGCTGGTAATGAAACCGATAGCGTCAACAAGCTCATTCCCTGAATCAGCAAGTGAGAAAAATAATGGTGCTCATCAAATATAATGGTTGCATTGTTATTACGAGCCCAATAGTGCATCATCAACAACGTTAAATTTGATAACAGCTTCTTAATTACCAACAGAAAAATGATTGCTGCAATCAGAAAGGTCAAATATCGACCGAGATGGGCATCGGCTATATAAGCCCCAACTAGTGGCGTCAACCACACTGAAGCAGTCCAGTTGTTAACATTGTTTGCAGATTCGACAGTACCCTCGTGGAGTTTGGTTGTCAAGTACTGAACTAGGTTTCCCGAAATTCCAAAGTAGGCCAACCTCTCAAACACTTCATACACTGAAAATTAAACCACGTACGTACAATACGCGTAGTGTTAGACAGGGAAGTCAATATAAACCTGCAGGCTGACATGCTCACCTATGATGAAAGAGCAAGCTTTCCATCTTCCAGTGTTTGACCTTAAAACTGGTCTGCCTTTCCGATCAACTGTTCCATCTTCAGTGTAGCCGTCTCTCACGCTTTCAAGACTCTTTTCTTCTGCCATAGCCATTATGCTGCTGGAGTATGGAGAGAGGAACGCCAACTTCAATTCATTTCGGGCTCCGTGAGAAAGGAAGCAGCTTTCTATTTATAAGCATAGATTAGATTTCAGATCATAGTTCGCACCCATGTTCTTATTCAGTTATATATGCAACTTGGTAGGTTGCTGACGTGGTCATCGTACGAAATTTGATATATTTAACATTTCAATTCGATTCCTTAATTAATTTGGTGATGTTTACATCCTTGTAGTGGATAATAATTAAAGGGAGGGTACATCTCACAAGAAGTCTAGTGAATGGCTTTGACTTGAATTATTTAGCCTCTTACCAGTCATCAGTGACGCCACCCCTTAATTATTGAACCATTCACCAGATGCCCCGCCGACTACATTACCAGTATAATATTTAAGCCAGGATTTTAAGTGGGTTTCCTGAACTATCCTGCAGGCTTTCAAAGAAATATCTACCATGTGCAATGAAACGGGAAAAAATATATATTAGTCTTTAATTTTCAAATAAAAAAATTGACTACTGTGAGATTGATACTAAGTGAATATAAATGAATGTAGATTAAATATATTATTGTATGGGAAGAATAATTAAGTCTTAATATCATCATTCACAAACAATGAGAGTAGTTTGCCAAAATTTTTTGAATTTTACAATGGTTTGACAGTCCTTTATTGGGAGATACGCAACAGAGTGCATTGTTATGAATTCTTCCATAAGTTTTGAAACCCCCCTACCCCTTTTTATTCCTACGAACTCTTTGTTCATGCGTTCTTGTGCTCTGTTGTTCTCTGCAGTTCGCAGCCAAAAATAAACAAGTATTTCACACCATAAAGAGGGCAACATGAATCATGATGCATGGATCACAGAAACTCTGAGCACCTTTTTTTCTTTCTTTCTTTTTTTTTCCTTTTTTAATGAATTCAGATCTAGTATGGATTTGAAGAATGACACGATAATTATTATATCTATAATATATTTGATAAAAGGGATACATACATATTGATTATTTTCAAAAGATAATCAATGACATGTGACAGCAAATGCTGGCTTAACTTAGGCCAGTGCACTGTCATGTCTGGGCTGTGTCACATGATCAACATTATACACGAACAATTTGGAGACAATAAAAAAGAAAATGAGGTTGAGAAGACACAGTACGGCCAAGAATGCATAATACTAATCCAAATGGGAAATATTTAAATTATCCAGAATCCAACCCTTGCCTTGACCATTTCTCCTTCTGACATCAGCAACAGTTGATAGAACAAAACTACTCAGAAAATAGCCAATCCCATTGCTGGTGGTGTAGTATGCAGTTCCAAGAGACTTCGGCGCCTGATCATTAAAGAACTCTATCTTTGCAACTTCCACAAATGCGTCTGCAATCCCCACCAAAGCAAACTGAGGAAGCAAGATGAATATAGTAAGTGGGATCTTGTCCTTCTCGTCCGAGACCTGGTTTTCTCTTGCAACAGTCAGTCTCTTTCTTTCTGCTAAACACGCTGTGACCATAATGACGACGTGTAATACGAGGCCAATTCCTAACTTGCGCAACAAAGTGATCCCTCTGCAGGGGTTGTCAGTGTAACGCCGAACAACGGGGACGAAAACGATGTCGTAGAGTGCAATGGTGAGCATCATTAAGATGGTGACAAAAGCAATAAGAGATGCCGGAGGAATCTGGAAATGAGAACCTATGCTCCTGTCTAGCGTGGAGCCTTGTCTGATGAAGAGTGTATTGGACTGAGCTGCTACGATGCTCGGAACGAATGTCGCGATCAGAACAGGAACCATCTTCACCATTTGTTTCGTTTCCTCAATTTGTGTCACTGGACAAAGCATCCATGACGATGTCTCACCCGTCTTCGTCGCTGCTCTGTCCAAGAATCTGCACTTCACATCGATTAGAGCAAGCAGAGGAGGAAGAAACTAGGAAAACTAACATCAGTTTGGTTTTGACATGTTAACCTTAAGGAAGAGGTGTGATCAATCTTTGGTCTCTGGTTGCGGGCATAATCTTCTGCGGTTAGCTCATGCAATTCTTGCGGGTCACGTGGGACCCGGACAGCCCGCTTCCTCACAGCAGCCAGAAGCGCACCTGCAACATTCTGGTTATGGGGCTGCCCATGGGTTTTTTGTGCCTGTCCAAGAATAGGAATATTGGAAAGGCGAGCCCAATTGTGGGAAGGCCATAGCCGAGGGCAAAGCCTACGTTATCTTGGACGTGGATGAGGAAAGTGCTGGAGAAAAGAACGCCAAAGAAGAGACAAAACATCCCCCAGTTAAAGAAGGAAAGTTTTTGGGCTTTTCCATTGGGCTCGAAGTCGTCGAACTGGTCTGCTCCCATGGTTGAGATGTTGGGCTTGGTTCCACCCGCCCCAATTGCGATGGCGTACAAAGCGAAGAAGAACATTCCAACTTGGTGCCATGTTGCTTTTTGGCAATCTTGCGTTCCTTCACTCCACGGCAGGGGCCTCATTACGCTCAGTGAAACTGTCAGCGTCAACATGCAAAGTCCCTGTTATTTTAAAACAAGGAGCACGTTAACAAGAGAGATCATAATGAAGATGCAGGAATTAATATTTAATAATAACTCTTGCCTTAATTATAAGACCTCATTTGTAAACTACAAACTACAAAAGAGGTCCGGATCATAAGAAGTATATCAGTGTGTATATATGTCACCCAGACCAATAAATAAATGAGACAGGCAATGAGAAAAGTCCAGTATCGGCCGAGATAGGCGTCGGCGATGTAGGCGCCGGCGAGTGGGGTGATCCAAACAGTGCCGGACCAGTTGGTGACATTGGCTGCAGATTTGACAATTCCTCGGTGCAGCTTCTTTGTTAGATACAGCACTAGGTTCCCCGCTATTCGATAGTGTGCCGATCTCTCAAACACCTCGTACCCTGTGTCATAATACTCCTCTGGTCCTTAATATAGGACCTAATTGTTGAGTTGGTTTTGGTCCTAAATATAAGACCCATTTCTTATATTTATCAATTTTCTCTAAATTACCTTTATGGATACTCCTTCAACTATAATCAAGTAGAAGAGGAAGAGGGGTATTAAAAAAGATGATTATGGTATTTTAGGAAAAATATGTCACATTTCTTATAAGTAACTAACTTACCTAACTTCCTTAATCTAATCAAATTAATTAAATGGGTCTTATATTAAGGACAAGAGGAGTAATTAATATAATTAACCCAACATCACCATGAATTCCTAAGAAAAAATGAGAAAACACGTACCCAGTATAAAGTAACAAGCCCTCGATCTTCCAGTCTTGCGTCTTAAAACGGGTCTTCCTCTTAGATCCACCGTACCGTCTTCTGTGTGATCCTCTCTCTCATTTGCACCCCATTTTCCTTCTGCCATTACTATACGTGCGGACGGCTATGGCATCTGGCTACCACCTCCTTCTATTGTGTGTTTATATGTATAAGCGTAGCTTTCTCTGTCACAGTCAAAATTAGTTATTTTGTTTTATTTTATTCAATTTAATCAGATGCTTCATTACAATAAACACCACTTGAGTGAAGTATATTAATTTCTTTTGGACAATGCCCAGTCGTTAATAGAAAAATATATTAGAGGAAAAGATGCATGTCTTGCAAGAGACCAAGAGAAAAAGGCTTTTCACTAAAAGTCTAAAACTATGTTCAATTTCTTTTATATATAACCCGGGTCTGAACTCTTCATACCAGTTACCGCTGCCCATATCTCATTCTCATTCTCTGGGTTAAGCAAACCTCAGGTGACTTATATACATACATACATATACATACATATATATATATACTACTTCCGATCCTAATTATAAGAGCCAATTGACTAATTTGAGGAGATTAAGGAAGTAAGTTGAGTTAGTTATTTATCTTAAATAGGTGTTGTCTTTCCTAAAATATCCTTGCTAATCAAATGTATTAATTAGAACTATCATTGTTAGAAGGGTTACTTTGAAGAAAAAAAAAGTATAAATATGAAAGACAAAGTAGATTGGGGTCTTATATTTAGGACCAAAATAAAAGTCAAACGAGGTCTTATATTAAGGACCAGAGGTAGTATATCTTGCCAACGACTAGTGTGTGTGTATAGTATTTAATTAATGTAGACCTCAATATCAATGGTAGCTCCGAAACAAAAGCTGCGTGTATTTTAATTCTCCCATTTTCTGTAACCCCAACTATCTATTAAAAAAGCCTGCTGCCTTGTGCTTGGCATGCTCACCCATCACCCTTGTCATCGACCAACAACACATAATAATCAATTAAACGGATTTTCCCTTTTAATGAATCCAGATCAGCTGGTACGAATTATTATAATGATACGATGATTATTGTATGTAAAATAATAATTTATCCATAATTTCGTGCAATCATTTGAAGCATTATAACGAGCAATTAACCTGTTCAATAAAACTTGATAAAATCTCCGTCCGTGGTCGTAATTTTTCAAGACGATCCCCACTGGACAGCTGATGGCCGTACCTTAAAAGGTTGTAAGTACTGGGAAATCTAGCATCAACTTAGTTTTCATTTGTTAACCTTGCGTAGTCTTGGGCTCTTGTGGGTTACGCAGGATAGGCCCTGACCTAAAGCCCTTGCATTTTGGGCTTTTTGTGCCAGCAAGAAAGCAGCAGATCGGAAAAAATAGCCTAATAATGCTAAGGCCATGGATAAGGGCCCAGATCTTCTTTCACGTTTATTCGCTCTCTTCTCCTAGATATCTGTTAATTAGGCTGCTGTATCCACAGTTAGAATTAGTTGATTTTAGTAAAAGAGACTAATCTATTATGACATGATGAATCAATATTTAAATTTTTGTTAAAAGAAGTGCCCAACAGTATATCGACTGTGAATGCTTCTAATAGAATTATAACTGTGCCTAACCAAAAAAACAAAGGTGCTGCATTTATTATATTTTTCTTAAAATTATTTAATATTTGAAATATTAAAGATCTCACCTCTTCTTTCTTTGCTGCGAAACCTCTTACAAATGATACGCTAACATTGAAAATAAATTTA